ATTATATCTAACATATATATAACTTATATCTAACACATATCTAACATATATATAACTTATATCTAACATATATCTAACATATATATATATAACTTATATCTAACATATATATAACTTATATCTAACATATATCTAACTATATCTAACTTATATCTAACTATATCTAACTTATATATAACATATATCTAACATATATAACTTATATCTAACATATATCTAACATATATGTGTAGAGTGGTGAGGGTGCCTAATGCTATTGTACAGTCACTGGTTTGTCCTTACATTAGCTCAGTCAGGTTCACTTCTTTGCTCTGGAGTCACTGGCGTGCTTCTCTGTATGTGTGACTTGGTCTAAATATGTGAATATGTGATTACTATGTGTGTTTTAACTCTGTTCTGTTATTTTTAAAACTTTTCTTTAATTATTCTTAGCTATGGATCCTGTGCTTGCATGTGAGTCCTTAATAAAGTATAAATAAAAAAATAAAAAAATATATATATAACTTATATCTAACATATATCTAACATATATCTAAAATATATATAACTTATATCTAACATATATATAACATATATCTAACATATATCTAACATATATATATATATATATATATACAGTGCCTTGCGAAAGTATTCGGCCCCCTTGAACCTTTCAACATTTTGCCACATTTCAGGCTTCAAACATAAAGATATAACATTTTAATTTTTTGTCATGAATCAGCAACAAGTGGGACACAATCGTGAAGTGGAACAAAATGTATTGGATAATTTAAACTTTTTTTTACAAATAAAAAACTGAAAAGTGGGGCGTGCAATATTATTCGGCCCCTTTACTTTCAGTGCAGCAAACTCAGTCCAGAAGTTCAGTGAGGATCTTTGAATGATCCAATGTTGTCCTAAATGACTGATGATGATAAATAGAATGCACCTGTGTGTAATCAAGTCTCCGTATAAATGCACCTGCTCTTTGATAGTCTCAGGGTTCTGTTTAAAGCGCAGAGAGAACCATGAAGACAAAGGAACACACCAGGCAGGTCCGAGATACTGTTGTGGAGAAGTTTAAAGCCGGATTTGGACACAAAAAGATTTCCCAAGCTTTAAACATCTCAAGGAGCACTGTGCAAGCAATTATATTGAAATGGAAGGAGTATCAGACCACTGCAAATCTACCAAGACCCGGCCGTCCCAAACTTTCATTTCAAACAAGGGAAAGACTGATCAGAGATGCAGCCAAGAGGCCCATGATCACTCTGGTTGAACTGCAGATAACTACAGCTGAGGTGGGAGAGTCTGTCCATAGGACAACAATCAGTCGTGCACTGCACAAATCTGGCCTTTATGGAAGAGTGGCAAGAAGAAAGCCATTTCTCAAAGATATCCATAAAAAGTCTCGTTTAAAGTTTGCCACAAGCCACCTGGGAGACACACCAAACATGTGGAAGAAGGTGCTCTGGTCAGATGAAACCAAAATCGAACTTTTTGGCCACAATGCAAAACGATATGTTTGGCGTAAAAGCAACACAGCTCATCACCCTGAACACACCATCCCCACTGTCAAACATGGTGGTGGCAGCATCATGCTTTGGGCCTGCTTTTCTTCAGCAGGGACAGGGAAGATGGCTAAAATTGATGGGAAGATGGATGGAGCCAAATACAGGACCATTCTGGAAGAAAACCTGTTGGAGTCTGCAAAAGACCTGAGACTGGGACGGAGATTTCCAACAGAACAATGATCCAAAACATAAAGCCAAATCTACAATGGAATGGTTCACAAATAGACGTATCCAGGTGTTAGAATGGCCAAGTCAAAGTCCAGACCTGAATCCAATCGAGAATCTGTGGAAAGATCTGAAGACTGCTGTTCACAAACGCTCTCCATCCAACCTCACTGAGCTCCAGCTGTTTTGCAAGGAAGAATGGGCAAGAATTCCAGTCTCTCAATGTGCAAAACTGATAGAGACATACCCCAAGCGACTTGCAGCTGTAATTGCAGCAAAAGGTGGCGCTACAAAGTATTAGCGCAAGGGGGCCGAATAATATTGCACGCCCTACTTTTTCAGTTTTTTATTTGTTAAAAAAGTTTAAATTATCCAATAAATTTCATTCCACTTCACGATTGTGTCCCACTTGTTGTTGATTCTTGACAAAAACTTTAATTTTTATATCTTTATGTTTGAAGCCTGAAATGTGGCAAAATGTTGACAGGCTCCAATACGAATACTTTCGCAAGGCACTGTATATATATATATATATATATATATATATATATATATATATATATAACCAAGATGGCGGCTCGCACGGTCGCCCCGGCTCTTTCGTGCGCTCTCTTTCTTTTTTCTCTGCTCCGCGAGGAGCTTCTGAACATTAGACCCACCATTCCCATTTCCCCTCTGCCTCTGGGCGTCTGCAGCTGACTTGGTTCATGTTTTAGCCAAAAGAGTGAAACCCCGTAGGAGAAGAAAGCGTGGCGGTGTGTTGGTGCGTCTCAGGAGAAGAGGAGCGCGCACACCACTCCCGGGATATTCCTTTCCAACGTACGCTCACTGGGCAATAAGACGAACTCAGCCTGCTCATGAGAAGAAACAAGGACTTCATCCTGTGTCCTCTGCTTCACTGAGACCTGGCTAAATGAGCGGATCCCGGACTGCGCTCTGGAGCTGCAGGGCTTTGGGCTGTTCCGCGCGGATCGCCATTGTGCGCTCTCAGGGAAGAGCAGAGGCGGTGGGCTGTGTTTCTACGTCAATACAAACTGGTGTAACGATGTGACAGTGATCTCCAAGCACTGCTCTCCTGCTCTGGAATATCTTTTCATCCATTGTAAACCATTTTACTCCCTGCGTGAGTTTGTTTCATTCATTCTTGCCTCTGTTTACATACCGCCATGCGCGGACGGGCGCGAGCCTCAGCACGCACTCGCAGAGCAAGTACTGTGTATGGAACGTTTATACCCGGACTCTCTGATTATTATCCTGGGGGATTTCAATAAGGGAAACTTGAGCCAGGAATTACCCAAATACAGACAGTTTATCAAATGCCCGACCAGAGAGGAGAACACTCTGGATCACTGTTACACCACTGTGCGCGGAGCTTTTCGCACTGTTCCCAAGCCAGCCCTCGGCTTCTCAGATCACTCCATGATACATCTGGTTCCTGCTTACAGACAGAGACTAAAGCTCTCGAAACCTGCAGTGAGGAGCTACAAAGTGTGGTCTGATGAAGCTGTGGAAGAGCTGCGCGCATGCATGGAATCTACAGACCGGGACCTTTTCAGAGCTGCCACAGATAGTTTGGATGAATACACGGACACTGTGACGTCATACATTCACTTCTGTGAGGATAGCATCATTCCAACAAGGACCAGGGTCATCTATAACAACGACAAACCCTGGTTCACTGCTAAACTCCAGCAGCTCAGGAAACTGAAAGAGTCCACCTTCAAAGAGGGAGATTTCAGAGGGTATAAGGTGGCCAAATACCTATACAGGGACAAACTCAAAGCGGCCAAGGCCCAGCACACAGAGTGTCTACAACAGCAATTTGCGGACAACAACCCTGCCTCTGTCTGGAGGGGGCTCCGTTTGATCACCAACTACAAACCAAGAGCCCCCCACTGTGCTGACGACCGCACATTGGCTGAGCGGCTAAACCTGTTCTTCAGCTGCTTTGATGTTGCTCCTGACACCTCCCCCCACTGCTCATTCGGCACCTCCCCCCACTGCTCATTCGGCACCTCCCCCCACTGCTCATTCGACACCTCCCCCCACTGCTCATTCGACACCTCCCCCCTCAGCACCTCTGCCCCCCCCTGCCCCCTCACTGACAATAGCCCCAGACGAGACACAATAACAGTTCTCCAGGCTACACCTCCGCAGTGCTGCCGGCCCGGCTGGAATCTCACCCTCCACCCTGAGACACAGTGCGAAGGAGCTGTCCCCAGTCTTCACCGACATCTTCAACACGTCGCTGGAGTCCTGCCACGTCCCCACCTGCCTCAAAACCTCCACCATCGTCCCCATTCCCAAGAAGACCCGGATCACAGGTCTCATTGACTACAGACCTGTGGCACTGACGTTTGTAGTTATGAAGACATTTGAGCGCCTCGTCCTCCCCCACCTCAAGTCCTTCACCTCCCCCCTCCTGGACCCCCTGCAGTTCGCCTACAGAGCCAACAGATCTGTAGACAACGCCATCTACCTGGCCCTCCACCACATCCTACAGCACCTGGACTCCCCGGGGACCTATGCCAGGGTCCTGTTCGTGGACTTCAGCTCTGCCTTCAACACGAACCTGCCATCCCTGCTCCAGGACAAGCTCTCCCAGCTCAACGTGCCCGATTCCACCTGCAGGTGGATCACTGACTTCCTGACGGACAGGAAGCAGCGAGTGCGTCTGGGGAAGAATGTCTCGGACTCTCGGATTATAAATACAGGAGCCCCACAGGGCTGTGTTCTTTCTCCCCTGCTCTTCTCCCTGTACACCAACCACTGCACCTCCTCCTACTGCACCTCCTACTGCACCTCCAACCACTGCACTTTCCAGCCACGACTCCGTGAAGTTGATCAAGTTCACGGATGACACCACCCTCATTGGACTCATCTCCAACAACGATGAGTCCGCCTACAGGAGGGAGGTGGACCGGCTGGTGTCCTGGTGCAGTGGTAACAACCTGGAGCTGAACGCCCAGAAGACAGTGGAGTTGATTGTGGACTTCAGGAAGAGCACTGTCCCCCCGCCCCCACCCTCCGTGATGGACTCATCTCACCTCTGTGGGAGTCCTTCCGTTTCCTGGGCACCACCATCTCCCAGGACCTCAAGTGGGAGCCGACCATCAGCTCCCTCATCAAGAAGGCCCAGCAGAGGATGTACTTCCTGCGGCAGCTCAGGAAAGCCAAGCTGCCTGCACAGATGTTGACCTCCTCCATCACCTCCTCCATCACCTCCTTCATCACCTCCTCCATCACCTCCTCCATCACCTCCTCCATCACCTCCTCCATCACCTCCTCATCACCTCCTCCATCACCTCCTCCAGCACCTCCACCATCACCTCCACCATCACCTCCTCCAGTACCTCCTCTATCACCTCCTCCATCACCTCGCGATCTCGTTCTTTCGGTCAGTACCCAAAGCTCATGACCATAGGTGAGGGAGGGAACGAAGATTGACCGGTAAATCGAGAGCTTTGCCTTTCGGCTCAGCTCCCTCTTTACCACAACGGTCCGATACAGCGACTGCATCACTGCGCACGCTGCACCGATCCGCCTGTCAATCTCATGCTCCATTCTTCCCTCACTTGTGAACAAGACCCCGAGATACTTGAACTTCTCCACTTGAGGAAGGACCTCTCCACCCAACTGTAGAGGGCAAGGCACCTTTTTCCGATCGAGCACCATGGCCTCGGATTTGGAGGTGCTGATTCTCATCCCAGAGACGTGTCAGCCAAGACAGTCCTACAACATCCAGAGACTTTAGATAATCAGGACGGATCTCATCCACACCCGGAGCCTTGCCACCATGGAGGCTACCAACCACCTTGGTCCCCTCAGCCAGGGAGATGGATGTATACGCCCCAACATCCTCAGCCTCTGCCTTTGTTATTAAGGCCTCAAGGGGGGGGGGGGGGGGTTGAGGAGAACCTCAAAGTATTCCTTCCACCGCCCAACAATAATCCCAGTCGAGGTCAGCAGCTCACCCCCCGCACCGTACACGGTGTTGGTAAAGAACTGCTTCCCCCTCCTGAGGCGCCGGACGGTTTGCCAGAATCTCTTCGAGGCCGACCGATAGTCATGCTCCATGGACTCTCCGAACTCCTCCCAGTCACGGGTTTTTGCCTCTGCAACAGCCCGGGCCGCGGCACGCTTGGCCTGCCGGTACTGGACAGCTGCCTCAGGAGTCCCCCGAACCATCATGGCTCGATAGGACTCCTTCTTCAGCCTGACGGCATCCCTTACTGCCGGTGTCCACCACCGGGTTCGGGGATTGCCTCCGGGACCAGCACCAGAGACCTTGCAACCACAGCTATGAGCCGCCGCATCGACGATTGAGGCAGAGAACATGGTCCACTCAGACTCCATGTCCCCCTCCTCTGCCGGGACCTGGGAGAAGCTCTCCCGGAGGTGTGAGTGGAAAGTCCGTCTGACAGGGGGCTCAGCGAGGCGTTCCCAGCAGACCCTCACTATACGCTTGGGTCTGCCAGGTCTGACCGGCCTCCTGCCCTGCCAGCGGATCCAACTCACGACCAGGTGATGATCGGTTGACTGCTCCGCCCCTCTCTTCACCCGAGTGTCCGAGACACGCGGTCGAAGGTCAGATGATACGACAACAAAGTCGATCATCGACCTCCGGCCTAGGGTGTCCTGGTGCCACGTGCACTGGTGGACACTCTTGTGCTCGAACATGGCATGGCGCCGTGGCAAGAGCTCTGGTGTGTGTCGTCTGGTGCACACTGGGGTAGTCTTGCACAATTTTTCCAATGTGGTTTTACTGCAAATGGCAAATAAATGAATCTGAATCTGAATCGTGATGGACAAACTGTGACTGGCACAGAAGTCCAACAACTGAACACCGCTCGGGTTCAGATCAGGGGGGCCGTTCTTCCCAATCACCCCTTTCCAAGTGTCACTGGCATTTCCCACATGGGCGTTGAAGTCCCCCAGGAGAATAACGGAGTCCCCGGGCGGTGCACCGTCCAGTACCCCTCCCAAGGACTCCAAGAAGGCAGGGTACTCTGCACTGCTGTTAGGCCCGTAGGCCGTCACAACAGTGAGAGACTTGTCCCCCACCCGAAGGCGGAGGGACGCGACCCTCTCATTCACCGAGGAGAACTCCAACACGTGGCGGCTGAGATGGGGGCAATGAGTATGGCCACCCCAGCCTGCCGCCTCTCCCCGCGGGAAACACCAGAAAAGTGAAGCGTCCAACCCCTCTCAAGGAGTTGGGTTCAGAGCCCAAGCTGTGTGTGGAGGTGAGGCAGACTATCTCTAGTCGGTATCGCTCAACCTCCCCCACGAGCTCGGGCTCCTTCCCCCCCAGTGAGGTGACGTTCCACGTCCCAAGAGCCAGATGTTGTTTGTGCGGACTGGGTCGCTGAGGTCTCCGCCTTCGACTGCCGCCCAGTCCTCTCAGCTCTCTAACATAACTTATATCTAACATATATCTAACATATATATAACTTATATCTAACATATATATAACTTTTATCTAACATATATATAACTTTTATCTAACATATATATAACTTATATATAACATATATCTAACATATATCTAACAAATATATAACTTATATCTAACATATATATAACATATATCTAACTTATATATAACTTATAAAATGTCCCTGTCTTGTTTGAATCGTAGCTGTGTCTGTTCCATTCCTCCTGCACTTGTAAATAGTTCATATTTGTCTCAGATATTTACCACTTATTGTTTTGTTGTTTGTGCTGAAAATACTTTCAGAATAACTGTTTCCAACAAGAACTGAGTCTGAGTTTAGAACGGTCACATAAAGCTACAGTAGAAACACATGTAATGATCTCAAACAGCTTCACTGTTGTTTTTGTTCTGAAGAGGAGAAAGAAGCAGCGTAACTGAGACCGCTTTGGTTTCTAAACTCCTGTGAGATCGCCATCATGTGGTTGGGTGTGGGATTACAACATTCTCCTCAAAACTACGCAAAGGGGAACAACCGAGTGCACGAGCAACTGTGCTTACGTAGGTCCGACTGTGGTGACGTAGGTCCGACTGTGGTGACGTAGGTCCGACTGTGGTGACGTAGGTCCAACTGTGGTGACGTAGGTCCAACTTATCTCAGTCATGAGGCCAATGTGACCCAGACTAAATGGAGTCTGTAAATTTGTCTGTGTGGTGATGTCAGATAACTGTAGTTTATTCACAGTAGGTCCAACTGCGGTTACGTAGGTCCAACGTAACCGCAACCAGACATATTTTCAGTTGCACACACACACAGACACACACAGACACACGCAGACACACACACACACACACACACACGCACGAGTCTATTTGTATTCTAAGAATGGGCCTTATCTCATCCTGAATCAACAAAGTGACTGGCCAGTTTTTACAACCCCTTTGATCTGGTGTCGGCCTCCTGCTGAGCCGATGCCGATCGTACCAAAAGCTGCCCACTGGTCTGAGCCAAGAGACTTGCCCCTGCTGGTCTGGGGCAAGTCTCAGCCACACCCCTCTCTGGATTATCTCGCTCTCTCTACATCACCAAGGAAATAATGAACTTCAATCTGGATTAAGAACATGGACTAATCCCAATAACGCAATGACAATATTCATACTGTAAATGTTATATCTATTTCATTTGTGAAGTGTGTGAAACATAAGAATCCTGTGAAATAACGGATATGTCCACATGCATATGTAAATCTACCAGGCCCAGATCTGCCCCGAGGCGGGACTAGGCTAATGAGGGAGTAGGCTCTCTCTGTGACCAAGCTGTGGTTCACTCTGTTCTTCCGGTTCTGCTGGGGCGTGCTGCTGCTCCAGCTCTGTAACCAAGAAAGACCGCTGGCTCGGCCATGTCTCTGCCTCCGCTCGCTACAGCAGAAGACCCCTCTTTACCAGGCCTCGTCACCACTGGATTGTGCACGGAACGAAACAGACAACACGACAAACAAATTGGGAGTCTCGGACTCCCAATTACACGCACTACTACTACTAAAAATAATGCATCGGTTTTATACAGCGCTTTTTTTGACACTCAAAGACGCTTCACATCATTTCTCTTTCTCTCCATACACGGTGGTGATAAACTACTACTGTAGCCACAGCTGCCCTGGGGCACACTGACAGAAGCGAGGCAACCAGTCTGTGCCATCAGCCCCTCCCACCACCACCAACCATTCATACACACACCAGACTCATTCTAGGCAATGGGGGTGAAGTGTTTTGCCTAAGGACACAACAGCAGTTTGGCACTTTACAGCCGCAGCCGCCCCACTGTCTCTGTTGTTCCCAGCGGTTAAGTGTCTTGCCCAAGGAAACAACGACAGCAGACATCAGTGGGAGTTGGTGGAGAAGGTCCTGGGATGGGCTTGAACCCACAACCTTCTGGCTCAAAGGCCAATGGTCTACCAACTGAGCTACTGTCGCCCTGCCACTGCAGACATTACACAAACCAGTAAGACCGCTCCTTTCTCGTGGTTGAGGCTTTGCTAACTGGACTGAGCTTACATTCATATAATTTGATTACAATTGCCTTGGTGAATAATGCCGCTTTTCCACAGTAACGGTATGGTAGGGTACTGCACGGCATGGCGCGGTTAAGGATCAGGGTACTTTCTTCGTACCACCTCGACTGTGGTTCCAAAAGACCCGCTCCTGGTGTCTTCAGTAGATTCTACATTCATGCTGTTTAGTTACAAAGTGCCACAGAACCACAGTCTTTGATGTAGGACGAGACACAGCACTGTCTTAACAACATGGGTTCAAGTCTCACCTCTGCTCTTCAGGACCATCTTCTTTGAAGTTTGGAGGCTTGTCTTTGGACAGGTCACTTTTCACAGACACAGAGCTGGGAGCAGGTCCAGGTCCAGGTCCAGGTCCAGGTCTGGGTTTAGACCCGGGGCCAGATCCTCGTGGCTCCATGTTGTAGAGTCTGAATCAGAACAAGAGTCACTCACTTTGTTTTATTATTTTTACGTCTGTTTGATTGAATGTGAGCAGAGAACACATCAGCCCCGACAGCTCAGGACAGAAGCAAATGATAATGTTCTAAAACAGACAAACAAATGATAATGTTGTAAAACAGATAAACAAATGATAATGTTCTAAAACAGATAAACAAATGATAATGTTCTGTTAGTATTAGATAGCAATATGGCCTACGTGCAGGACTGTACAAGGACTCTGATTATTGTGACTATGATGTGACTGTCTCTGTGTGACACGTCTTTCGATGTGTGACGTGACAATGACTATATAAACTGTGTACTGCCTTTATTCTGTCTGAGAGAAAGAAACAAAGGAAACCACTGGAACTTGAGAGAAACTTAAATAAACTTCCAGAGTTTGGCGCACCACGATCCGTCTCTGTCTGCTTCATCCCCGACAGATTTG